CAAAGAAATTATTTAAATTGATTTGTAATTTTCATATAGTGCGGTTGGAATGAAAAATTATTGTCGAGTCCTGTTCACTTCAACACACTGTGCATAAAAATTATAAATTATTTATAGTTGATATAATTGAAAATCCTTTTAAGGAATTGTTATAGCGTCAGGAAATTCATTTATTTACAATTGCTTTTTAAATTCGTGAAAAGGTGTAATTTGAATATTTAAAGTTGATTTGAAGAGAATGCGGTTTGTGGCGCGGGGCCTCTTGGGGTTGGGGCTATGGACCCGGGGGGTTGATGGGGCGGCATCGTAAAACGGTTGGGGGATGCTACCCCGGGCTTGGTTGGGGGATGAGGATGATGGCTGTGCACATCCTCAGAGGTCTGAAGGTGGTGGTGTGAGGTGACGCTACATGCGCCTTTTATTTCGGCGTTCTCGTTAGCTTTTAATTGTCTGTATAAAACCTGTTTTAATTTGTACAACTTAACAACTCAAAGTCAACAAAGTTCGACCCGTGATAAAACACATTTTCCAAGATGTAACAGGCAAATTTTCCCCAGGATTTAACGTTTAGTCAAAAAATGAAAGAAAAACATCGTCTCGTACCAAGGAAGTGAATCCAGGAAGTCCCTCATTTATCAATTTTGAAAGCCAATGCAAATTCAAAAACCCCAAACCAGTTTAGACTCGTAGGATGAAAATAGGTAAGGAGTAATTAAAATCGCAATATAAAAAAGTATATGAACACCGACAAAATTACCAACGAAAATATTTTGCTAAAAAACGAAAATCTTCCGAGTTTAAACCAAAAATTTACATACTTCCATTCGGGGTAAAGCTGCCCAATGAAAACAGCTTACGGATTGTATACTGTAAAAATCGCAACAATAACAGTTGTCGATATGAACATTAATATTTCATTAAAATAAAGGCTAGATAAGTGGGTTTAAGGTTAAAAAATGATGGGGTTAAATAGTACGACTAGTCCGGCCACTAACATTTAAGTCAGCCCATATTGAAACCCGGTTTGTGCTGGACTTTCTACACACGAAGAAACACTTTCCATTTCGGCCTACGCAATCCTGTAAACTAGTCGTCGGGCTTAAAGTCAGTTTTATCGTGCCCACTTTTCAAAACGAGAGGTCCAGTCAGTTGCCATGATTTATTCGTCACACTTAGCCGAGGAAAGAGGTGGTCCACTTTCACCTATCGTATTTTTTCAAACTTTGATAAAATTGCGTTAAAGTGAGGATGTCTTTGATTTTTTTTAGCGATTGAATAACGAATTTTTGAACTGTTCTCAATTTGACAAGGCGATGTCTTCAGGGTGTTTTTTGAATAACGCTAGAAAAACGATGCAAGTCCGGAATCGAATACTGTCCCATCCGAGTTGTTTGAAAATTTAAAAGGTTATTTTCTCAGCGTTTCTGATAATTTGAAAGGTTGCTTTTTTCGCGTGGTTTGTTAATTTAATAGGTTGTTTTCTCAGCGTTGGTAGAAAGTTGGAAAGGTTATTTGGTCACGTTTTTGAAATTTAAAAGGTCCTTTTCTCAACGTCGTTCGAAAATTTAAAATGTTGTTTTCTCAGCGTGTTTGAAAAATATGAAATGTTGTTTTTTCAGCGTCGTTTTAAAAATATGAAATGTTGTTTTCTAAGCATTGGTTGAAAGTTTGAAAGATTATTTGGTCACGATTTTGAATTTTAAAAGGTTCATTTCTCAATGTTGTTGAAAATTGAAATGTTGTTTTCTCACGTTTGAAAAATATGAAATGTTGTTTTCCCAGCGTCGTTTTAAAAATATGAAATGTTGTTTTCTAAGCATTGGTTGAAATTTTGAAAGATTATTTGGTCACGATTTTGAATTTTAAAAGGTTCATTTCTCAATGTTGTTGAAAATTGAAATGTTGTTTTCTCACGTTTGAAAAATATGAAATGTTGTTTTCCTAGCGTCGTTTGAAAAATATGAAATGTTGTTTTCTCAGCGTCGTTTGAATAATATGAAATGTTTTCTCAGCGTCGTTTGAAAAATATGAAATGTTGTTTTCTCAGCATTGGTTGAAACTTTGAAAGATTCTGAGAATTTGGTCACGTTTTTAAAATTTAAAAGATTCATTTCTCAATGTTGAAAATTTAAAATGTTGTTTTCTCAGCGTCGTTTGAAAAATATGAAAGGTTGTTTTGTCAGTTGTTTGATAATTTGAAAGGTTGCTTTTTCCCGTGCTGTTTGTTAATTTAATTGTTTGTTTTTCCAGCGTCGTTTGAAAATTTAAAAAGTTGTTTTCTCAGCGTGTTTTGACAATTGGAGAGGTTTTTTCCAGCTATCATTGACGATTTAGTAGGTTGTTTTCTCAGCGATGATGGAATATTTGAAAGTTTATTTTTCATGTTTTTGAAAATTTAAAAGGTTGTTTTCTCAACGCTGTTTGAAGAGTAATAAGGTTGTTTTCTCATCGTCTTTTGAAAAATATAAAAGTTTGTTTTGTCAGTTGTTTGATAATTTGAAAGGTTGATTTTTCCCGTGTTGTTTGTTAATTTAATTGGTTGTTTTCTCAGTGTCGTTTGAAAATTTAAATAGTTGTTTTCTCAGCGTATTTTGATAATTTGAGAGATTTTTTTCCAGCGATCTTTGACGATTTAATAGGTTATTTTTTCAGCGATGATGGAAAATTTGAAAGTTTATTTTTCACGTTTTTGAAAATTTAAAAGGTTGTTTTCTCAGCGTTGTTTGAAAAATTTAAAAACGCCGTTTTCTCAGCATTGTTAGAAAATTTAAAATGTTGTTTTCTAAACGTTGTTTGAAAATATGAAATGCTCTTTTCTAAGCGTTGTTTGAAAAATTTAAAAAAGCTGTTTTCTCAGCGTCGTTTGAAAAATAGAAAGGTTGTTTTCTCAGTTGTTTGAAAATTTGAAAGGTTGCTTTTTCCCGTTCTGTCGGTTAATTTAGTTGGTTGTTTTCTCAGCGTCGTTTGAAAATTTAAATAGTTGGATTCTCAGTGTGTTTTGATAATTTGAGAGATTTTGTTCCAGCGATCTTTGACGATTTAATAGGTTTGTTTTTTCAGCGATGATGGAAAATTTGAAAGTTTATTTTTCACGCCTTTGAAAATTTAAAAGGTTGTTTTCTCAGCGTTGTTTGTAAAGATATAATGCAGTATTCTAAGCGTTATTTGAAAAATTTTAAAAAGTCGTTTTCTCAGCGTGGTTAGAAAATTTAAAATGTTGTTTTCTCGGCGTTTTTAGAAAATTGTGACCGGTTGTTAATGATTATTTAGAGATCGTGAGATGCGGTCTGGTGTGACGTAGATTTTAGAAAAACATACTTTATCGTGCCAACGTACGTTTCGATCTTTATTGAGATCATCTTCAGGGCTCAAAGTGTTGTGTTTTCTGTGTAGATGTGTCATTATTGGGTGTCGTGTTGATAGTTCCCCCAACACGGCACCCAATACCTACGTCACACCAGACCGCATCTCACCATCTCCAAATAACACTTTAAAATCTTTTCTCAGCGTTGTTTAAAAATTAAGAAATGAAGCGACAGGAAAAAGATTCGATTGCAAGGCCGCTTGAGTGTGAGTCAGAATCACAGCGTGACAGAAAGGAAAAACCACGCTTTAAACAAGCTTAAAATTTGACCGAGCTTGTTTAAACCGGTTGTCACAATCTGTCGGAGAATAGGCGAAAGAAAGTTCTCAAACAACTTTCGCATTTAGAAAGCTAGTCCATAATTACTTTTTAAAAATGTATTTTTTTAATTCTGAGAATAAACAACAAAGTTGTATATAATATTTTTATATTATAAGGTTGGCAGTGCTAAGTGACTTGATTAAGTAACGTTCCTAATGATATTCCAAGCGAAGAAACTCCGTCGTTTTTACATTGCTAGACGTAAACAACATGTTTATGAGTTATTCTCGGTTAAAGAATCCTTTTCAAAAATCTAGTCCTAAAAATCAATCTGTCTAGTGTTTATTTGTTGCTAGTTGAAAATTAGAGCAAATTTTACTTTATTATACCGCTGAGGCGTTTAAATTAAGTCAAGCCAAAAAGGATACTTTAAACGTACATGGGTACGCTTTTAGAATGACCACTCTATTCGGACGTTTTCTAATTAACTTCACCCTTTTCTGATGGAATCTTATGATTTGATAAAAATTTAAAAGCCAGAAATGATTGTCGTCGTTCGGCCTAGACTAGGGCTAATTGGATTGTTACACAACAAAATTATCTTTCTTCAGAGAAATTCATAATGACAAAGATAACAGGCTCAACGAGTCTACGTTAAATCTATAACGTAAACACTTATGAGAGGAAACTTAATTTGTCCTCTTAGGGATTTTAGCGTCAATTAAAGTGCCGAAAACTTTATGAAAATGGGTAAAGTTATCAACGAATTTAAGTAAATTGTTAGAAGAGATTGCTAATGACAATTAATTTGAGAAATTGTTGTGAACGATTTAAAAAAAACTATGTTTCATTTCCCTAGATCTAATTAGCCTATTTTGAGCTTTTCAGGTTGCCGTAACATAAAAGCAATGACCGAACCGACCTAATTCTACTAAATCAATGTTAGTCGAAACCGCTGATATGCAATTTTATTTCAATTTTGAAAAATTATAGTTTTTGTGTTTATGGAGCATTAAAATACATGTAGTTGTTGCTGTGTCAAGCATAAGTTTATACATTTATCAATTTCTTGGCTGGGGAAAAATAATTTTCAATTTTTCAAATAACTTCTAACATAAATCTTGAATATTGGTAATTTTTTCATATTAATATTTTATAGGAAGAAAAAAATCCACATTGGAGAATCGAGATTAATTGTCTTAATTTCGTTCTTCTTTAATTGTATAGCAATAAATGTGAATGTTTAAAACAAGCAATTAAATTATAGCCAAAACAAAAAAATGAAGAGGAAACTAATATAAATATGTTTAGTACAAGGTAAAGAAGGATAGAAAAAGAAAGGTAGATAGATAAATCAAAACATAATGAAACTTACAGTGTTGAAAATTATCTTGCCATGTTTGAAAAGACTAAGCAACACCATGTTAGGTATTATTTAAAAAAAAATTAGCGACACGTTAAAAGTTTCTTGGTGGTCTTCCTCGTCTCTCTGCCATGGCCGGGACCGAGGCAGAGAACGGTTTGTGCAAGTCGTCCGCACCTGGGAGCTGTCACCACCGTAGACCTGCTGACGGTGACTAGACGACCACTGATGGATTTGGATACTTTCTGCTTTTACTCCCGCCGCTGGCTCGCTCCCCTCCAACAAGACCGCTGCCACATCGACTTTCCCCTGCTCTACTCTGAACCCAATCCATCTCGTTTTCATGTTGTACTAGTAGTTTTTTTTATTACTGTTAAGCATCTGTCAAATTGTTAGGTATACAATCAAACGGGATTCTATTTTCGCTGTTTTGAACATGCACATATCGCACAACAGCAAGAAATGTGACACAAAACGGAAAGTGTATAGGAGACACAGATGGAAGTTTACTTTATTTATGGATTAATTACACGCCATTACAGTTGTTGGCAATAAAAACTGTCATGATCCATCAAAATTGTCTTTCGTTAGTCCAAGACTTAAGAGAAAGCATAAAAATTTAAAAATGCAGCTGTACTAAATTAAAAACTATCCCTTTTTGAGTTATGACACTTTTCTTAGCCTTTCAGTTATTTAAATTTGTTTTCCCTAACAATATTGATGGTCAATGAATGATTGTAAGGATATTAATTTTTTTGTGATAGTGACAGACAACATACAAACATAATAAGCATATCCGTTACGAAAACATATTTGGACAATTGCTTGAACAATTACTTTTCATAATGGGAAGCATATAAATTAATATAGGCCCTCGTGAGGACCTTTAAATAGGTCAAAATCTTGGCAGTAACAGTGGAATTTTTCTTTTTTCTTCAAGACCTTGATCCTGAGTGTTCTTGAGTGAAAAATTGGTCGGTACTCTAATATTGAAAACTAAAATAATTCTAACATTAGTACTATTTTGCTGTTACAATGAAGAAAAAACGCAGCATAAGAACTACGAATGCTGTTAGATAGATACAGTTAATGAAGTGCAATGTTATTTTTTCGTATAAATTTAATTGTGGTAGTTCAGTAATTACAATATTTGGATTTTCTGCAACATTTTTGACCTGCAACTTTCAAGCTGAGCTTTTATGCGTCCCAGATTTGTTGGTGAAATCAGAAGAGTCATAACTATAAGCACTACAGGTCATACTTTTCTTCTCATTGCCCGTTATCAAGGTGCATCGTCACTACAATCCACATTTCTGCCACTTTTTTGCCTCATAAGCTGCCTGAATATCGGCCAGTTTTTTTGAGTTTATAGTGATTCTCAATGTCCTCCCTCGATCCCTCCCTCTCTCCCTCTCTTCCTCTCTCTCTCTCTCTCTCTCTCTCTCTCTCTCTCTCTCTCTNAACTGTTTCTCATTCCTATTTCATCTCAATAGCTAGCCTTTTCTTTCGACTTTTTACTAAAACATTTCCTTTTCAGTAACCATTGCATGCATTATGATGCCTACTGTCTTCCATATTTGTCTCAACTTAATTTCCAATGCATGTAAGTGTAGTTATCTACTTGCTTTTATTGTGTTGTGTATATTTTGTAGGCTCCGCGACTCCTTTCTCAATCAAACATCTGATTCCGTCCATTTCCAAAAAAAAACCCGTTACATTTTCTTCCCACCAATTCTAAGTTCAAAATGAATTAAGTTTTAACAGTTTTATCATTTTGAAATATAGACATTTATGAATACTTGAGATTAATAGGTTTTTAACAGGACCTATAATTGTATTTTATAATTGTCAGTTATACTTTTATGTATTTACTACATATATTAGTAATATACATACATATAACATTGTATATATTTTTTTACTCTTCAAATAGTTGGTATTGTAATTTATTTTACTTTTTTATTCTGTACTTTTTTTGCAAGAAAATTTATTTTCTAACTTCTTCTATGCTTTGATCTGGTTTCATTTGACTTGTGTTGTTTTGTTTAGATCTTGGTCTTTTTTTCTTCTAAATAAATACTAACAATTGGTACTCCGACTTCCTTACATAACTAAACTGGTCGATTTCAATGTTTTATGAAGATTATTGCCATTTTTAATTTCCAAAAACACAAATACATTTAAAAATTATTATTTCTCTAAAACGAGTAAAGGTTTAACATGCTACTGTCATTTTTTTAGACTTTTGGCAAACATCTGACGATCTTCAGGGACATTTAAACAAATCATTAAAAAAATTTCGATTATTCAGAAGCAAGGCGATTACAGAATGCCATATTAAACGATAGTACAAATTTTAATTGTTTTTATTACTATTACCTTAAGAGAGAAGTATGATTTTGAGGTGCTTTCATAAGTATACATTTCCTCTAAAGCGCTTGTTAATCTTTTTTATTATGTACTAAACTCTCTCTCTCTCTCACTCTCTCTCTCCCTCTCTCTCTCCCCTCCATTTCAACCCTTCATCCCCAAACTCTCTCAACATTCTTATTTTGTGTGAGTATTAAAAAGACATGGCCTTTTGTTTTTGTTTGCGCTATTAGAATTCAATTATGCTCGCGTGTTATCATTTGATTTTTTCTACGATAAAAAAATTAAAATATTAGATGAGATTTAGATATTAGAAAAGTTACAAAATCGAAAAAACGCTTTCAGCAAAGTGGACAACAGAACTTATAAATTTAAAAAAAAATTCGTTTTAAGAACACTTTAAGCCCGTGAAATATGATTTTTTTATCATAATAAAAAATAGGGTTTTTGGTCTTGATCCGCGGCCGGAAGTAAATTTGTTTGGCTTATGTCCGACGTTCCACTTAAAAATCCATAACCCCTCTGGATTTTATCCAAATTGAACGGTTATACAACCGTTGGAAGGTAGAATATTTCTTCTTGCTTGCTATGCCAAAAATGTTTTGTTATTATGCCATAATAACAGAAAGTTATAATAAAAAACTGCTCAAACGTTCTATTTATTTCTCCGGTTATAATTTATTTACGCAAGTTTTGGCTATCGTTTAAAAAAAACATCACTTTTGGAAGCCGAATATTTTGAGCGAAAAAATTATTTTCTCAAAAATTTGGATTCAGAGGTTTTTTGAGGGTGCAAAAAATGAATACACTTAGTTTCTTGTTAAAAAAAACATTTTGGCCCATTTTGCTGTGTCGCTCGGTTCGTGGGTCACTGAATCCGACCAAACTTTTTTTGGTGAATTTACACTCCAAAATATCGGACACGTATTCGACACGTCTTTTGAATGGTGGTTTCACCAAAAATTTTTTTACGCTTCCATTTTTCGTTTTTTAATATTTTTATTTAGCCGTTTTACATGTTTTCTTAATGGAAATAATAGTCCGATTTTAATTTTTGATAATAGTTATAAATTCACTGGGCAATTTTTTTAAAACGAATTATCAACATGAAAATTATATCCCATATAGGATCAGCATTGAGAAAAATTATATGCTCTCAAATGTCAGTCAGGCAGAAAGGCGGACGAAATTATCAGTTAAATAATTAATTAACGCCGATTTCCGCGAAAGTCGGTAACTGAGGGTTTTACAACGCTAGCAGCACAAAAATAAGGTCAAATCAAAATTTTGACGATTTTCTGACCTACTTTCCTTACAGAATGTGTGTTAAAATATAAAAAAAGTATTTGGTTGATTTATCTTTTTAAATCATACCACATTAGAATATTTCGTAGAGCATTTTGGTTTTTATGTTAACTAGCATTGAAATTAATATATCAAAAAAATTTTTATCTCTAAATAACGATTTATGATCATTTAATTGCGACTTAAATTAGATTTTGAAAAAGTGCCATTAAGTCAATTTATTAATAATTATATTTATAATTGGAAATGTGGGGGTATTTATGGAATTATTTATTCTCAATTATCAACAAAGGCTTTCACTATATTTTTATCGCTATCTATATTACAAATATATTCAGTTGGTTAGAAAAGTAGAACGGCGAAATAAAAATATTAAAAAACGGAAAATTTCATCGTTTTTTTTTTTTGTTGCGAAACCAGGTCCTATTTACATGAAGTGGCGGATACGTGCCCGATATTTTGGAGTATAGAATCACCAAAAAAGTTTGGTCCAAATTAGTTTGGTCCTTGTAAGATATTGGAATGCATAATTCGTCACCGAGCGACAGGACATCGGAGGAAAAAACTACCACCGGCTAATCCTGCCCAAAATTAACTATTTTTTGTTTGGGTTAATAAATTTATTGGGCTTGAAAGTCATAGAACGAATGAACGCGTAGCCGATTGGTTAGCTTGTCAGACCCCGCGGTCGTGAGTTCGATTTCCACCATCGACCCTGGAATTTCTGGTCCATCCTCCTCCATCAAATACTATTGTTTATAAATGATATTGTACCCTGGCTAATATGGGGAACATAAGATCATTTAAAAAAAATTATATATAATAACATTTAAATATGTGAAAGTACAAAAGTGTATTAAAACAACCATGTAAATTACTTTTCTTTAAAATCTCGGTTGCTAATGCTCATTGGAAAGTTCTATTATTTTTTCGATCTAGTATAACCAAAAAAAATGTTTATGTAAATCGGTTTTCGTTCACGTCCTTAGCCTCTCCATGTAAGTACACACAAGTCTTATTTTTTGAAATCTGTAAAGTCAAATAGTTTGTTCTTTAACAGTTAGATATCAGAAAAGCGTTTGTAATCAATTGACTCAAATCAAATTCATGATGGTTAAAAAATTGACCAGGATATGGTAATTTGGTTTTGGTAGTTATTCAATTCAGTCCTGCTCATCAGCCCTGCATCAACAATGAATGAACAGGATATGGCAGCTTAAACTTTCTTCACCCTAATAATGTCCGTTATTTAAAGAACGAACATACAATCTTTTGTCGAAAACAAATCATTGAAGGTTTCCTTGAAGAAATTTTAACAATATAATTCAGGACCATAAGCGGGGCTCTTGAAAATTGACCCACAGTTAAAACCCTGTCACATGTGGGTCGTCTTCAAATGTATACAAGTTATTTAGAAAAATATAAACACACAACTTTAAGTACTCGAAACGTCTTTTAAAACAACAAGCGGAAATAAATCTTAAAATTCTGTCAGGAAGGGGATCGAATTTCGAAGTTAATGCTAATCATATTTTTGGATCAGTCAAGCTGTCGAGCAAAA